TTAAGAGCTAAGGATGCGATTTGGGAATTAATCGCACTCCTTTGAACCAATCAGATTGCAGGATTTGGTAGTGATTACAAAAAGGATATGATTAATGAAGATATTTGATATTTATCTGATCATGATTTTTAGGTTCCTTTGATTACAAGGGCTTTGGTAAAGCTCGGATGTGTGAGTGCTGCTAATAAAACGTTTGCCAGGATCAGCGATGGACGGGTAAGACACTAATATATACATTAATGGACTTGCTAAAATCATAAAGTCTTTACGTCTAAAGTCACCAATTATCTTAAACTTGTCTTCTCTTGTTTGCTTCTTGTTTGTTTTGCGCAGGACTTAGACGTCTTCGAGCTTGATCAGCTTGAATTCAAGACTCTAGCAGAGTGCTCATACCTTGAAAACTATAGTCTGAAGACCATCTACCTCTACCAAAGCCAATCGTAAGTTTTTCCAACACCTCTCCCGCACCCTCAGTGTCCGTTGCTAAGTTCTACAAGTTTAAGGATTAGTACAACTGCTTTAGTGCTCTATATAGTGTTTGCACTCTGATTCTGTTCTATTATAACAGCTCATATTAGAGTTACGCTCTATTGCCTTCTAGCAAACGTCGTTTTTGGGTCAATTTCTATACATTTTATTGTATTGACCCAAATACCTCGACTTAAAACAATTTTTTGAAGGCAATAGATTGTATATTCTAATATCTGCAATGCATTTGTTTATTATGATATAAAAGAGACTTTAAGGATTTTACTTTAAAACATGACGTTTCGACTGCAGCTGTGGCAGTCTTCTTCAGAATGAATACCTCTCGCTAAAGTCAAAAATATATTATCGGTCTTTAACTTAATTCCCGGTACCGCTGCCAGAGAACAGTAGAACCTCTCAGCTCCACACCATCACCGCCCACACTTCATTATAATCACTGCATTTCACAGCTGCTTTTCAAATTCAATATCATTCCGAAGAAGGCTATCATCAGCATGGCCGAAACTTCAAGTCATCTTTTCTATTACGTGTTTTTCAATGTGATTGTTATTTACTTGTAGTGACAATCGAGCCATGATTGGGGTCTTCATCCCAGGATCCAAGAAGGTACAGCATTGTTTCCTCGTCTTCCTTCCCTTACCATTCATCCTGATTCCTTTTCTGCTATCATCGTAGTTGTTTTCTATTATTAGATTCTTTAGTATTGAGTAAGTTCTGGTTTTTTTTTTTTTAACTTTTGTTACTGCCATTTTTCAGGCATCGGTTTTTGTACTGGACTCAGTTCGTAACAATCAAATGCCGAATCTATCATCGATGTATAATACTGAAAGATCCGCAAAGTAAGTCAATTACCCATATATTAACCCTCGTTGCTGGTTATCGTTAAAATTAAATTGTAAATAGAGGGTCACCTATAACCAGATGCTACCCTATAGTAAATACTATTCTCTTTCGTTTTTTGAACAGAGAGAAGAACACTGAAGAAGGGGAACCTCTTTCATTACCTCCAGAGAACCACACCTTTGAGATACGAGTCGACACCAACCCCAGACAGGTAATAGATAGTTTGTTGTAGTATAAAGATATCTTCCTTCTGGCATGCTTGTCTGCTTGACGAAGAGAAAAGTAAAAGTAATCCCCCTCCTGGAATGCTACAAAATTTTTAAACATTTCAGTCAAATGTTCATCAATGAATGTGGCTCTTTCTTGATGTTGCAAGGCACCTGAAGCTTGAAGACAAGGAAGCAATAGCCGAGAACAATGAGTTTGGAGCTAACAATATCCTGCAAAACCCTAACCCAGAATGCGAAACACCAAGAAAGACCCATATAAATATAAACGATTACAAAAATCGTCTTCATGAAAACCAAAGGACCCAGACAAATCTATCAATTGACTTTGTTTTGTAGGCTTACAGAGCAGTACAGCGGTTGTTGGTTGGATACAAAGAAGAGAAAAGCGGTCCAACTATGATTCTGGTCCAGTCCGCGATGGGTAAAAATATATATGACTATAATCAATGCTTGCGATCATAACATGTACAGCCTTGGATTTCATTTTGAAAGCTATCATTATCATAAATGATCTTCGAGGCTGGGAGAGACGGTGTTACAACAGTATTCATCTCTCTAATAACATTCGGATCCTCTCTCAACTTTGGTATCGTGTGACTGCATATCAGTTCTGTTCACGGCCTATGACAGCTTATTCAGTACCCTAGTCTAAATGTTGCTTATCTGATAGGCTACTTTATTTTGCTAAACAAATTTGGCGTTTTGTTTGTTTTATTCAACAGATTTAAATCACCTTACGTCTTCCATTCCAATCTTGAATGACTTCCCATTGGTTCCTCTGCCTTATAGTGACAGGTACTGTAATCTGTTGGTCAAGTTTATGATTGCCTTGATATAAGTCCGTCTGACGTCATTTATTTATCGGTTTCTATAGTGATACACGTTACAATGTTCTTGACTGGCAGCGACATGCATCAAGACGAATGATCAAGCATTATTTAGAAGTGGACCTATTCTTCCAGGTTGGTACATTTCCTTGTGTTCACCTTTTACAAACAAGCTCCCTACAAACAACACCATATAAGGCATGATAAACAAAATATATTTGTAAGTCAAATGTCATCACTAGTCACTGCTCTTATTCTGGAATAATATTAGCCATCAGGTTGGCTCACTGGAGCGCCTTTGTCAACCGCGTGTGAACTTGAAGGGAATGAGGACTACCTTTTGTATAGCCTCATTTCCCTAGCATATCGTTCGGCCTAAGCATAGGATCATTACAAAGACAGCATGGTGTCACGCTTACAAATAAACCATGTGCTTATGTGGCGCATACTACGCATGCGTATAGAACTTGAACGCAACTGCGATTTGTGACAGAACGCAAAGAAAGCCCAATTTATACCTCGGGCATTTCTTTGAAAGCCCGAGTGAAAAGCGTCTCCTAGCACAGATCAGTGGCGCCATTATTTAATAAGTTGTTTCAAAATATTTTCAGGCTCAGTTAGAGAACGCACGTTACTTCCACGTCCCTGTTGGCAACATCCCCATGGATGCCACTCTGTTTGCCGCCGATCTGTTTTATGCACGTCACTTACAGAAACATGGACACTTGTTGTGGATGTCTCCAACAGACAGACCAGACTTGGGAGGAAAAGAAGAGGATGATAATAGGTACGTCAGTAAACACTCTGTACACGCTAGTCAGGAAAACTTGTCATCGCTAATAACCATCGCATGTACAGCTGACACAGCTGAACTGGGTCGAACTGAAGGCGCCTCTGGCACCCGCTAAACAGCCGCTAAATACTCACGACCCCAGAGTTAAGCTCTAATCAGTTTGAATTAGTTATGGTAATTGTTTTAAGGGGAGTATGGAAAAACTGGAGGGCCGAAAAAACCCTCGAGTTCAGAAAGAGAACCAACCAAATACAAGGGCGTACAAAACGTTATCGAAGAACAAGAAGACTTGGAGACGTAACTGGAAGAGGAGGGAAGATAGAGACAACCTGTTCCGCTAGGTTGTCAAAAAAAGCTGTCCACTGTTCGATATTTAAGTTATTCTCAATGCCTATCTTGTAGACTCAGTCTCCTAACCGACGAAGCAGAATCCATGGAATTTAACAGTCCCGGATGTTACCCAACTGTCTGTGTAGAACTGTCTATTGATGGTCTGGCTGTCAATACTATTTTACAGGTAAATACTTATACTGATTTCTCTTAAACGTTAAATAAATTGTTCGTTTTTAACCAGAGGTTATGTGTTTCTATTTATCGTAGTCCGCACATATCAATGATTTTGAAGGTGCTTCAGGTACAGGAATAAGCTTCGATAACATCCCACAGGTATGCATCTAGATTTCGTTTTCTTTTTTCGTCATTCATAATAACCCCTACCAGAGATCAAATCATGTTTTCAATCCCGTATCATCTAATGCACTTGTGTAGGCGTCGTTAGAGGAGCTGGTACAAGGAGGTCAGGCAGCTGCAGGACTAACCACATACGATGAAGCTGCTCTGTGTTCTAGTGCTTTTAGGTAAGTTTTCAGTGGCCTTCAAAGATTTAATTTGCATTATTCATATTTGCATATAATTGGAGCCGTCGAGCAGTCAAATTCCCATTGCCTACCCTCGCTAAAAGCAAAATATTCCTTTTGCAAAACTGTAAAATATAACAGTTTTATGGAACCCCGAGAAAGCTTTTGGCCTGATCTCTGTTATGTAACGGTTTGAATAGTGACGTGTTAAATTTTGCGGATGAAAACAGGATCAAGCGCGAAATCAAAAGGGCGAAAAGCCAGTGTATTACCGCTACGCCATCTCATAACCATAGCACGACATGTTATAATATGATTAGACATAGCCAAGCACTTTTAAGGTTGATTTACCCTGTCTTTCTAGGATTCTGAAAGGGATGATTCATAGCTGGCTGCATGAAGTATCTGCTTACCAGAACCAGTACGCAGATGCACAACTGATGCACTTCTACAGGTCAGTTGACTCAACTACTGGGTCTTATTCAGAGTCGCGTAATGTATATATACACATAAGTATAGGCTAAGGATCGTTATCCTTGATCTTACTCTTGCGTCCATAGTTAAAGCCCAGTGACGGAAATTGTTTGTATTTACCCTTAGCGTTGGTGAGAACCACCAGACTTTAGACTTAGTTGATAGCAGTGATATCTATGTCCTAGTCTTGTCTACGTAACCAATGTTAAGGGACCATGAGGCTATTGCTTGATAACCTACCCAGAGGCAGGGAAGTCTTCTTTTCCAGGTTGCTCCTGGGTGCGCAGCGTTCTAGGAAAAAGCGAAACCCGAAGCGCTCGTCGTATGCTCTAGAACTTAAGGGTTTTATATTATGTGGTTTCACGCAGCTTTCTAGGATAAAGCGAAACCCGAAGCGCTAGCCGTATCCTCTAGAACTTAAGGGTTTTATATTATGCGGTTTCACGCAGCTTTCTAGGAAAAAGCGAAACCCGAAGCTCTAGTTGTAGAACTCAAGTGTTTAGTACGCGGTTTTACAAAGTAACCCTTTCATGCTAAGCTTTTTGCTGTGCTTCCAGATGGCTTTCTTCACCTTCCTCTCTCCTGTACGACCCAGCTCTATGTCGAATGGTCCAAAGAATGATGAAAAAAATGTTCTTACAGGTAAACCGATTGGTGGAAATACTTTTTATTTTCTGTTCCTGTCCTAGATTATGACCTTATTTATTGGCATTTTAGAAAACGATTTTGATATTCAATTAATATAACATTGCTGACTGAAAAACAAACTGCCTTTTGACTGGCCCTTTATTTTAGCTGGTTGGTGAGTTCAAACGTCTTGGTTCTACCATGGTTTACGCTAGCTTCAGCAAGATCATTATTTGTACCAAAAAGAGAAGGTAAGATAATTTGTACATTCTTTTTAGAATTGTTTTTTTTTTTTTAGAATTTTCTTTAACATTTTGATTGTTTCGTAACGATCGTTTACACGGGCGATTCAGTTTTGCGGACATTCGAGGTACAATCGTTACAGCTATTTTTAATGAAAATGCCATTCTTGATTAAACCAAAATCGCCGCAAAAATCGCACCTCTAATCGCCGCAAAAATCGTTCTTGTAAACAGGCCTATATGTTGTTCGTGGGTTTCTAGTTTACGCATTGTACTGGGCTAGCTATGGTACCATGCGAAGTATAACATGACAATAGCAATGAACTACTTCGACGCGGATACGCCATCTTGGAAGGCAAGGCATTATGGGGCATCCATAAGACGGCACATCAATCACCTTATATTTTCCGTCATCTTTGTTTTGTTTTGACTCCTGGCAAGATGACCGCCATATCTTCGAAGAAGTCAATAGTCCCTTTCACAGTTCCCAGCGCCATCTTGAAAGGTAGCCATGCCTTTGCATCGAAGCGAGACGAACGGTGAGCTTGCAATGATAGAGACCTTTTTCAACACCTTGGACAATTATTCAGATATCTCTATCATTGCGAGATCACTGTTCGTCTCCCTTCGATGCAAAGGCACGGCTATCTTTCAAGATGGCGCTGGGAACTGAGAAATGGACTATTGTATGTAAAGTCTGTTGTGATCGTCATTTTCAGTGTTTCTGATGCTCTTGCCTACGTTGAGTTCATCCTAAAGAGCATCCAATCAAAAGACCTGTTCCATAGTATCGACATCGTCCCTACGTCATGCTGGGAGTTTCTCATGTGGCTCGATCAGGTATTTAACATTGATTAAACGTTTGGGCTAACTGTGGTACTTACTTACTACCGTACAAGTCCCCAGCATCTAATAAGCTCCCCTTCTGATAAACCCCCTTCTGATAAGCCTCCTTCTAATAAGCCCCCTTCTAATAAGCCCCCTTCTAATAAGCCCCCTTCTAATAAGCCCCCTTCTAATAAGCCCCCTTCTAATAAGCCCCCTTCNGCCCCCTTCTAATAAGCCCCCTTCTAATAAGCCCCCTTCTAATAAGCCCCCTTCTAATAAGCCCCCTTCTAATAAGCCCCCTTCTAATAAGCCCCACTCTAATAAGCCCCCAGTCCAAAAGAAAAGAATAAGTTCTCTGTGGGCTGAATAAACGGAAATATGGTAAGCTAACCATGATAGGTAACAAAGGATGTGGAGTACTTATTTGTGTACATTCATTGTAGGCTAATCATGGCGGGGTGCGTGGTAAACTACCAACAGGTGCGGAGGAGAATGGTGATACAGGTGGCGATAGCGAAGATGAGATACAAGGAACTCCTGAAAATAACAATGTTCACGAAGAGGTAAGTATATGAAGTAGTCTCGTGATCATGTGAGTCTGTGACGTTAATTTGGTCGAGAAGCTATTTACCAACGCATCAGTAGAGGAAACTAGTACAAATTGACCATTTATAGTGCCCCGTGAATTTAAAAAAATGTGTATCACCTTATGCATATTCCAAATACTCTACGGTTATATGGGTCCGGTATAGTGTTGCAGACCGTCACTAGCGCGCCTGCAATTCCCCTTCTCATTGACAGTTTAATTTTCCCCTCTTGGGGGACAAAGAGACAGTTTTTTGGGGGATACCCATTATTATCGATACATATGAATATTGCGTCTTTTTCTCTAATTTCAGCCCCAGATTGAAATGAACTGGAACATCGGTAAATACCTTCCTTCCGGTGCGTCGTGTCAGAATTTCTTTCAGGTAATGCTGTTCGTCGTTTTCCTTCACTTAAAGAATTATTGACGTTGTGTAAAAAAGCGTTTTTTTCCTCCGATTTTTAACACATTGTCAGTACTATTAGTAGGGCGCTTTCCCTCGTTCTCAGTGTAGTTTATTTTATAAACATTAGGACCTAATGCTCCTGGAATTGGAATTTGATGTCTAAAAATGAACTGCTGTTTTAACTGAAAATGGACCCTTCTTAAAAACAATCTTGGATGCAAGGTTACCATGGAAATGCAAAAGAAATGCCACAAATTCCATCGAAAAGGAGTATAGTTTCTTTTGTATTTCTATCTTAGCCTCGGATCCAAGGTAATTTTGAGAAGGATCCATTCCTGCAATAACTTATCTAGCAGGGAAATCACAAAAACCACTCAAAAAAACGTTGTCTTTTTTTTAAGATTGTTATAGCTGGTCATATCCATGCCATGTATAAGCATTCATCGGAGGAACGCCGTACTGTTCAGCCAGGTACCACACCAATACGTCGAAGAGGAGGAAGCAGTCAATCGCAGAAAACTGTGCAATCATCTGCCACACCTAGCCTTGTAACGTTCGCACAGGAACGAATCCAGGGGGAACTGACGCAACAACTCTTCTCGTGAGTATAGGCTTCCTCGTATAGTGTAATTTTCGTACGACTGTGAAAAATTCACGGCTCGAACACGGCCATGACACGGCAAGCGATACGCCAGACCAATCACATTGCACGAGAAACTCTCATCCAATCAAATACCCGGAACACGGCATAAACACGGCGCGGACACGGTCACGCCAAGGTCACGGCAATGCCAGTCCAATCACATTGCTCGTGAAAAAATCAGCCAATTGAAATTCTAGAAAGCATCACGGTCACGGCACGTCACGCTTACGGCACTGAGCTTTTCACAGTCATACGAAAACTGCACTATTACTTGTAGTAGTGAGTGTAGCGTAATTGAAGTTTTGGGGGAGACTTGGAATACCAAATTTATTAAAGACGTCAGACTTTATTCGGTTGTTTTATTGGAATGTTCTTTTTTTTTGTTGTTTCTGTTTGCCTGTTGTTTTTTTTAAGATCATATTGTCTTTTTGTGGTTTTGTAATTAAGACAGAGTCTTTTGAGTAATCGGCGTACAGTAAAACCCCGCATATAAGAACCTAAAATTTAAGAACATAAAGTCAATCTGTTTTATTTTGTTGTAAATATCAAAATGCAGTACTCTGTATGTTAGAGTGTTTACACTGTGTCCATGAAATAAGATCTAATTTACGCTCTTTTAATGTTTGCACTCTATATTCCATGTAGCTAGCATGAAAATTTGTGAATCATTTAATGTATAAAATGTCACGCCCACCAATACAAGTACTTTTTTCCTTACCAAAAATTAAGAACACATTTTTAGATAAAAGAACCTAGATAGCCTGATTTCAAGTTAAGCACCATTTATATAAGAACCTGTTCAGGCTGACTTGGAAAAATCTAGGTTCAGCATACGCGGGGTTCTACTGTATTATCACAACATACTTTCTAATATATAGTTCGTATGTTTGTTTTGTAGGATAACTCAGAAGATCCAGCATACCTTATCTGGAGACAGATCATCCAATAAGGACCCTAGTTCAGAGTTTCCTGTTTTACCTGGCTCGTATTTACCTCTCAATAACCCTGCACTTGAGTTTGTCAAGTACATATGTAAGGTATGTATGAGCAATTATTTCATCAATGAAAAATTCATTTTTTTATTTGCATTTATATTTCTAGAGTTAATTAGAGTTAATTAGAATTAATTAGAGTTAATTTGCAATCTTACTGGACACATAAATATGGATACTACTTAAACAAAGAATCTTATTCTCAAGAGAATAACATGCTCACAATGCATACTACGATTATATTTTACCAAAACCATTGTATTAAAGCTTTATTAAAGCGAGTTGGGAGTTGAAAATTACCCAGAATGCACCCGATATATCAATATATTGAAATATATGCAGCGATATGCAGAAATTATGATACTTTTGTATATGCATAAAAGTATATCAAAATTTTATTAGAAATTATGGGATACCATCTCTGATATTTTTTAGAAAGCCCTAGTGATAGGCAACCCGAAAAAAATATCGATGATATCCCATAATTTCTGATATACTTTCGATGTGCTTGTATGTGTGTACGAAAGGATCAGAAACTCATATATATATGTGTGTGTGTGTATGCATAAGCAAGTCATTTTTTTTTTCAATTCAGTTAACATGACGTCCCAAAATACAAAGAGAGAAATGTCACTATGCTATCGACACAGCTTATAACAATTATGCATTGACATTGATCATGTTTCCTGATGGTATTGCTTGTGTCGCCTGACCAGATATTTCCCGTGCACAATATCATAGTCTATACGTCCTTACATTTTTGTTTGATAATTAGTGGGGTTTTTTTTGTATGTGTTTTTCGTTGTTGTTTTGTTGTTTGTTGTTGTTGTTGTTGTTTGTTTGTTT